CCGCGTCGTTCATACGGACCAATGGGGACGGGGGGCGGGGCACGGCCCCAGGAGTGCAGCACGTGCGCGCCGGCCATGCCGCTCCTCCGCGCCCGGGGGGAACGGGGCTTCCCGCCCCTCCCGGCCGCACCGGCCCCCGCGCTCGGGGTACCGATGTGTAAGCGGAGACGGCGGGCGCACCCGCTGCACACCTGGCGCGCCCGTAACACCCCCCACACGGCTGTTCGCTCGTGTTTCAACGGGAGCGGCGCTGCAGCTGATCCCGAACGCGCCTGAGGGAAACGCAGTTTCTTGGAAGGGGGAGTTCGGATACAAGCAGCAGCGGCCGGGGCCCTGCAGCTCCGTCTCCCACAGGGAGCAGCTGTACCGTCACTTGCAGGAAACCGGTGCCGTGAGTTGGCTTCGTTCTGCTTGTAGTGCAACAGCGTCTCTTCGGCAGCTGGAAAGAGCGTACGTTAATGTGCTATTAATTCAGTGCCTGTTACCTGACAAAAGGGGGCGAGAAGTTCTCTGGGGCGGAAGCTGAAGAAATGCTGTATGGTGATGAAGTAAAACGTGAGCAAGTGTTTCGGTTTTTAGCTGAGGTTCAATTCCAGTAGCTGGAAGTGTAGCAGTAACTGTTGGCTCCGTTACCAAGTTCTTTTGTCTGTAACACCAGCGGGGGATGAGCGAGCAAGGACAGGTACCTGGCACTGAGCTCAATTCTCCTCTCCCAATGCTTTTGTCATTTGTGCCTGTTTCCTCCAGTAGTTAATCCGGACTTACACTAGTGTAAATATGAAAAGAAAACGTCTGCACTAGGGGGATGGTTATAAGAAACCTACAATAGGTACAAGACAAATACACTTCAGAATAAGATCTACTTAAGTATAAAATCATTATTACTCGTACATTGCAGGTTTTTATCCATGCAGTAAGATCCATCCATCTATCCAAAATCAGAGAAGCAATGGCATTCATATTCTATGTAAACTGGATATGGAGACTACGAAAAAGTGCAAACTGTCAGAGTGGATGAAAACCCAAATGAATAGTTCATTTTCAGATGAATTAGGCTGTGCAACAGATGCAACTGATGAGGAACAAGACGACTTACCTTATGATGGAGATGTGGAAATAACCTGTAAATACAACAATAATACAGACAATTTGAATGACTGTACTTGTACAAAAGATGTTTTTGGTATTTTATGCTGTACTGAAGATAACAAAAACATAAAAGCAACAGCAAATTATGAAACTCATCTACAGCCTGAAGAATTCTCCAATCACCACAGAGGTGCCAAAGGAACAACAGGAATTTCAGTTGAAACACCTGGAAGCGAAGCTTCCTTCAAGAAGGAATCACCTGTTGGTGGTTTTAGTAAACCAGAGAGCAAAGAACATGTAACTCGCTCAAAAATGTCCAATGTCTTTTTGCGTCATTTTTCTAAGGGAGAGTTAATAAGCACATGCCAGTTAATTGAATGCGAGACAATCCCAGAGACATCCTTTACTGAAAGTATCGATGACGCTGTGAGCACACCTGAGCCTTCAGAACATGGCAAAGGCCCTTTGGCGCAGGAACAACCAGCAACTAACTGCCAAGAATGTACCTTAGAAAAGCACGAGGAAGTAAACACTGGTGATAAAAGTCAAAATTCGCTGAATGAAAATAGATGTGCTTCAAATAAATCTGTTTCTTCTACTGGTAAGTGCAGCTGCAGACAAGGAAATTCACAATTGATCAGTGAGAATGAAGATACACACGTGTCTCAAAACATGAAAAAAGACAGAGACCTGCTTAAGGAAAGAGATTCCCCTCACAAGCTCAGATATGGCCAAGGTCAAGCTCACTATTGCGTTTGTGACTTCCCCGAAGTTGCTTCAGAAGTTAAAATACCAAAAAGAAGTGACAATATTAACTCAGTTCCCACAATTGAAAGAACAAAACCCTTCCCTATTTTGCTAAGTCAGTCACTAATTGTGAATAAGATTCTAGAAAATAAGAACTATTTCAATTCTGCTGAAGTACAGAACCAAGAAGAAAGGAGCATTCCAGAACTGGTGCAACAGCTAGAGGTAATTAAGGTGCTTCAAGAAATTCTTAATACTTGTTAGAGTGATGTTTACCATAAGAAGATACTCTGTGTCCAGTAAAATCCAACGTAACTAGTTCATGAAGGCAGTCTATAAGTACAAGCAAGTATATCACTTTAGTCAACAACTGGTTCCACAAATAAAATTTTGCGAGACTGAATTTATATGGAATTTTCATTGCCAAATATTTAATCATGCTCTGGAGTATTACTTGAGATTATAAACCATCCTATCAAATCGTTGTAACTAAAAATTTATAGTGAATTTCCTATAAATCCTTAGATTCATCAAAAGTACCAAATTTTTTCTTAAAGTAAGTTTTTCTTAAAAAATGTATTTTCATACTATGCCTGTGTTTATGTTAAAGACAATGTTTGCCTTTTTTTTGCATCTTAAGACTCATCAACTCTATATAATGGTATTTATTGACAAGTCAATTCTTTTTAAAGGATTGGTTTGACAACAACATTTCTCTTACTGTAGTAAATTTCTTCTACAGTTTCTTAGTAGTTAGATAATCAGTTTTGAATTTTATGACCTGCCATGGAGTTCATTCAGCTCTACAGATGCTTGAGTCCATTCCTAGATTTGTATCGTAGTAAATCATTCAAGATGTAACAAGTTTTAATAGTTTTCCCCATTATTTCCTGGCTGCAAACAAGACGCTGACACAGCATGCTGACACTCAGAATTGTACTGACCATCTGAGATTGAATCCTAAGGTAAGTACCTCAAAACAGTTTTGGTGGTGGTTGTTTGTTTAAGGGGTTTTTAATGCATTCTCCTTTAGTACTATGAATATTCCCCAAAACTATTTTGTCACCTTCATACTGTGCTTCCCATTTATACAAATCCTCTTTAGATTTTCACAACACAGAGTTGAAGTATTTAAGTATTTGTACAATGAGACACTATACATATATCAAACTATAAACACAGAAAATTATATGGTACTGTTATCATAAACATTTCATTAATATTCATAACTTGTCCTATGTATTTTGAGTTATTTCTAAATTTTTTTTATGTCCACAAGTGTTCTATACATTGTTCCTATAACCAAAGTTCTCATTTTAACAGATGCTTCCTCAGTCAGATTTTCCAAAAGCCAGCATTGCCATTTACTCAGGAGGTACTGGGACATCCTCTGAAGTCTTTACATTACATGCTCCTGCCCCTACACAATCTACATGTGGTTTGTCTAAAGCAAGTAAATAAAATTACAGTAACTATGCAAATGACTATTTTATGTAATTTGATAGTGCTTTTGGGCAGACTTTTTGTGCAGAAATTCCAATTGATTGATCTTATCTTGTATTACGTAGGATTACAGTGTGGAACAACAGCATCAGCATTACCAGCAGCTGGTACAGTAGAAGCACACTGTCTAAATCCTTCCAATTTACTGCCAGAACCAACACTAGGAGAAAAGATGTCTCAAATACTAAAGGATCAGACCGATCAACTGATAAAGAAAGTAAAGAGTTCTGTTTCAGTATCTTCTTTGCACTGATGCTCCAATTCTATATTCATTTGGCATACTTGTTTTTAAAATCCCAAATAACAGTCTAATATTTTGTCTTGAAGGTGGAAGACTTCTCTATGCGTAAAACCCAAGAGACATGCCTTTTACAAGACAACTATCCGGTAAATTAATTTATCGATTTTCAGATGTTTTCCTCAATCTCAGACTGAAATTACTGCTTAAGAAGCAAAAATGAAGGTGTTCAGTAGATGGCTGAATTCTTAAATCTGTTTTAAGGGTTACAACTTGAAACTATTAGTGAAAAGCCTTAAGTTGGCATATAAGTTATTAATTTTGACATGTAGGGTATCAGTTCAGAAATCATGGTTGAATATTTTACTTGTACATAGTAGTGCAGCACAGTACAAGGTGGGCATAACAAGATGATGTCCAGTTCCAGTTCAGAGCAGTAGCAAAATTCTTACATGACTGCAAACAGCATCTGACTTACACAGCATAAATAGCTATCACCATGGCTTGCTAAATCATAATGACATTTGCTATTGAATCTTTTCTTATCGGTGAAGGCATTAAATCAATTGAAAAGACACCTTGATGCCTTGGAAAGGAATTACTTAGCAACTAGAGAAGAGCACCATAATTTACAGCTGCAGAACTACAAGAACAAGTCTATCAACATTGGAGAGTTTGATCCTGAAAGGTTAGAATATAAGTGCTGAGTAGTATATCAGTATATTTTCCACACTTTGTGTGTCTTACAACCATTACTTCATTTATCCATTAGAATTTTTCTGAAGTGAAAACGTTATCTTAATGTTATATGTGGTAAGCTAGAAGTCATTTGGCCAAAATTCATCTTGGGCTTTACATATCCAAGTTATAATTACAATATCTAATTGATTAATTCAAGATCTTAAAAGGGACTTGGTGAACTCCATTAATTTATTTTTTTACTAAGAGAAGTGTACTGCAATGTCCAACATGGTTATCATAGTAAGAAAATATTTTTATATAGGTTTCACTAACTGTGTATTGCAATTGGATTTAGAAAGGTAGAAGGGGAAATATTTAGGCTTGGTATGCTGCTTGAAGACATCCAAGAACAAACTGATGACAGCAAAAGCAACTCGTCGTCTTTGCTTACTTCCTATGAATCTGCCCATTCATCATATTCTCTTTGTGAGGTAACTGAGTTTTATTATTTAAAGACTACTTTATTCTGTTTTACTGATGCAAGTCTCAAGAACCTCAGTATGATAGTACTATTGCATGTTCTCTAATAAAAGCATGACACTTCTATATAGCTTGTTACTTCAAAGAAAAATGTTTGTTGTTTTTTTCCCCATGAAATATTAACTTCATAATATTTCATTAATTATAACAGAAACCTAAGTATAAAACCACAGCTACACTGAATATTCTTAACCCCAGCTTCAATAGCATTTATTTCAGAATAAGAAAATACAAGCAGCTACTTACAAAGCTGTCTTTGTTTTGGGGAATTAATCGCTATAATTTAATTGGAAAAAATATTACTTGATTTGTCCAAGTTTCTTAAAATGCAGAATTACTATAAGACCAAGCATCATTGCGCTATAGAAAATTCAGTTTACTGTTAAACATGGTAGTATTTTGTCCTGGATCATAAATGCACAAAAAAAACAACTTATGGCTTTCTACAAATGTACAGATAAGCATCACCAAATGCTTTCATAGTCAATGTTTTAAGGAAACATTTTTCTCTGAATCTCAGAGATGGTCAGAAAACGCGGGCTGGTAGAAGTCATGTACTTGCAATGCGATGACCATATTCTACATGTACCTATGCTATGGTTTCTTCGTACAGAGCTCAGCAGTTTCAAGCATTGCTGATCCTCCAGAAAGAAAAGGAATTGAAACTGCATTTCTTCACAAAAACAATGAGAAAGAAAAAAGTCAGACAACTGATGTAATCCCACAGACAAGTCCATTTTATTTAGAAGGCGACAAGTGCAATCTTTGTCTTCACATGTAAGTGAAAACTTTGAAACAGCTATTGAAGCTTTTATAAAAATCTGCCTAAAATTATATGCTGAACATAGAAAAGTGAGATGTCTGGAATCTCTGAAAGCAATGGGAATATTTCCAGAAGAAAACTTTTACAGAATTCCATAACTACGTACTCAAGAATTTCTTCCAGCCTGGCATTCCTACCTTTCAGGTCTTACAGACTTCAAAAGATTTCCTGAAGCCAGAACACTACCATCAGTTTCACTAGGAGTTAAATCATACCTCTGTTTAAAACTCACTGCAACCACACAAATTCAGGATGTGAATGACTAGTCAAAGTACAGTACCAGTAAAAAAATTATTTGCCAATATTTGTGTGGTATTTCTAATTAACAAAATGGAAGGATGCAGATATTTACATAATTAGCCATCAAAACTTTGTGAAAGAATTCTAGATACCATGCCTGCCCTATTGGGGAGTATTTCATAGGTGTGAATCTTATCTCAATGACATTAGAAAAATAAAATAAATGGTTTCTTCTTAACAAATTAAGGTTACAAAAGAGATCTGAATCAACTTCCAGAAGAGAAACAGAGACTGTGGGAAAAGGTCTGCTAGCAAACAAGCTTTCTTCCAACGTAATGGTACGAGATCTGTTTCCCAACTCAATTTTTTTTAAACTTAGATTATCTTACTCAGCTTTGAGATCACACAGCATTGTTCTCTTCAGTTTTTGCACATCATGATGGCTCCACTTACGAGATACTACAGCATATCATAACATTGCTGGATCAGTTTCCAAAAGAGAAATTTAAGGAAAGACTCTCAAACATTTTTGAAATTTGTGATAAAATTTGCTTCTCTCAGGAAAGAGTTAACTGTGCGTACTAGCCTGCCTTTATTAGTTGTTCAGAAAGGAAAAACCTACAAGCAATTGCTTGCCTACAAAACTATTTAATTTTAAGGCACTGAGAGAAATTAATTAATATATGCTAATCCTTCACAAAGCAAGGTGAAAGCCTGTGTTGAATTCCAACTTCACAGACAAAAAAGTGCTCATATTTTGTCCAGTCTGCTCTACAGTTGGAATTGTTAATAGATAAATCAAATTGCAGAGTTGATGGCAACTAAACGCAATACAGAAGTGATGTGCAAATGATGCCACTGTTCACACTGTCCTGTTTGATAAGTACACAGTAATATAAACAATCACATATAAGTTTGCTTTGCCTTCTGGTTGCAACAGCGATTCCTTTCACCTGAAGAAAAATATGCTTCTGAAGGTCTTGCATCCCATCAGAGTACATTAAGTCAAAAATTTAATGCTGATGAAGAAAGTATGAAAGGGTAAGTGTCTTACATATTTTGGCTAGTCAATAAACATGGTTCTCTACAGTTAAGTGAGCAGATACATGCATGTACACTGATATGTCTCTACACTGGACTCTGCATGAAACACTGAATAATGTCTCTAATACATATAAATTGAGAGGATGATCTGTTTTAATCACATCAGGTATATCATACACCAGACCACTGGAGAACTGACAAAACTCCCATCATTATGTTCATATTACAAAGTAGCCCATCTCAGTAGACCAGGATAAGGTTTATGATGCTTAAATGGCACAGAGTTATTTTAATAGCATATTAAGAGAAGAGGCTTTGTCTTTCTTCTGTATTCAGCAATGCATGTCAGCATCCCAAGTTGAGATGATTACAAAGTGTTCAGCAATTAAAAATAATTGAAATAATCATTGTCATGAACTAATCTGGTAGGTGGGCATATTGATATATCTGCATATATTTCAAGTGAAAGGGTCAGTCTGTAAAGTTCATTTACAGAAATGTCAGCTTGATAAAATAATTCTACATGTGTTATTTTGGAGTTTGACATTTTGGCAAATTAAATCTCTATCCAAAGCTATATCACATAATACATGCAGTGTAGAACACAGTAATATTGATCTAAATATTCTCTCATATTATTTTACAGAGTAGATGTTAGTATTTACCTAGTAAAACTCACCGAGCTTCCATTTTTTTTTCCTCTGTCATTTAAGGAAAGTTAGCTCAATCTTCTGATCATTATTTTCATGATTAAGTGGAAATTTGTCCAAGTAAATCTCATGATACTGTATGCCCGAAGTTGAAAATAGGTATGTCAAATAAGGCAAACAAGTAGCTTTGTTCTTGTTCTGTCAGAAGGTACATCTCAAATATTCCTTTAATTAAAGGCAGTAAAATTAAAACTTTAATAGCTCAAAGTGACTAAGAAGCCCTATCATCCTTACTACTGATAATGTTTTGATGCAACATATATGAACACATATATAAATACACAGGATTTCATACTACTTTGCTGTGTAAAGATGTGATTATCAACAACTCTACTTTAAAGCATGTTTCACAGCTCTGCTAAGTTGGGGTTCTTTTGTCAGAATGTGTCCTTTGACTAACAGGGTCATCATTTTGCATTTGGTTAATTTTTAATTTAAGCTTTTACTTATCACCTCTTCAGATAATTGATACAGGTAGAGTTCTTTCTATGAGTAAGTCTGATTAATCCTCAATTAAGAAGTGCTCAAACATTAATATAATATGCTCATAAGGCTTATCATAAAGGTATTAAGATACAATTAAGGTATCATTCTGTTTTCATCCTCAAAGAAATAAAAACATCCAGGAAAGGAAAACTGGAACACGTTCACTCTTCTTTCAGAGAAAACCAACCGATTTATCAGATACCAACCTGAGTAAGTAGTGATGGCATACAAAAGTTAGAACTGTGCTTATACCTACTATTGAATCTTGTTAAGAAATACATTCCCGTCACATCACAGCAGCATGAAAATTGTTTTGTAGTTTTAACAGATGTTACTGCTAAGCACAGCACAAGACACTAAGAAAAAAAAAGGAGACTAAATAGGACACTAAGTCAAATTCACTTTGGAAGTCTCAGTGATAGACCAAGAGGCAACAGACAAGCTGCAGCATAATTTCCAGTTATGTGTAAGCAAAAGAGTTTTAACTGTGGATTTAGTCAAGCATTGAAATGATTTGCCCTAGAGAAGCTATGGCATCTCCATCCTCAGAGATATTCAGAACTCAACTGGACAGCGTCCTAAGCAACTTCATCTAAGTTGGTCCTGCTTTGAGAGGGGATTGGGCCAGACCATCTCCAGAAGCCCTATCCAACCTGAATTACTCTATAATTCTAATTCACCTTTTAGATAAGTCTCCAAATACTACTACTACTACCATTTTCAAAAGCCTAACAGTGGTGTGCACACATGCTTTGATTTTGCTCTCTCTCTTTATCATGTGCATTTATTTCATGTCCTAGAAGGAGATTCTAAACTTAATGACTGAAACATTTCATATCAGTAGTTTTTTTTGGTTTTGGATTCAACTTTCTTATTTTGCATGAAAACAAAGAAAGAAAGTTTTCCTAGATCTTTGATCCATTCAGGGTTCTCACAGACTGGAAATACTCTCCTTCCTTAGTCCAGCTCCTAATAATATAGTTTCATTGAATCCAGACTAGAGCCCACACAGGCTACTGTGAGCTAGTTAAGTCAGCTGTCAAGTCATCCAGGACTTCAGCTCTTGGAAGTTCACTAAGAATCTGTCAGCATTTGTTTCTCTTAGGGCATACAAATTTTATCTTTCCACTGCAGAATACTCTGAAGCTCTTAGTGCCCAACAAATAAGAGAGAACACCATGAGCTGTCCTAGACTCAGTTTTAATTCTGAATATGTAAGTTATTCTTACCTTTGGTCTACCTTTTATCTTTGGGTTCTCTGCGATATCCTTTTGCTTTAATATACGACACTGAGGCCATTACTGTTGGTACTGGTTTGTGCAATAGCTACAGCAGTGTCATACTAGATCCTCCCAGATTCTCTTGTCACATTCCTCTTAGGCTGCATTGTTTTCATAACACTTGAACTTGTAGGAATTTTACCTTGAAAAGGAGAACCTAAGGACAGGAAGATGGAGAGCTCAATTTTTATTTTTTTTTTTAATAGAGTTCTGGGACTGGAAACGACGACAAAAAAAAAAAATCTACATTTGAGGCTTATGGTCAGGGCTGAAAAAACAATCTTTAAAGTTCAGTCCCTACCTGTAAAATGGAGCAAAAAGTACTTTCAAATTGCAGTAGTGTTAACAGCAGCAAATGGCTCAGAAATTATGGTGCTGAAAACCCAATAATTACCTAGGTACACAAGCCAAAACTTTTAATATTTCAGACAATTTATATGTGGTTTTGGGATTTTAGGCAGTAATTCAGAAGACATCTCAGCCTATGATTCTTACAGTGAGTCACAAAGCGAGGAACTCATGAACTGTGAGACTGAAGGTTACAAAACATTCAAGACAAGATTATGTGGAGAGAGAAAAGGTATAATGATTGCAAAAATATTACAATCTACACAAAAGTATTCTTGTTTATAGTTTTTCTAAACAACATGTCTCTGTTTTCAGGGCTTACATACAGATGCCCTAGAGGATACAGAGATCAATTTAAACTCAGGAATTACAAAGAACCTGTTCAGTCTTGTACCCTATGTAGAAATAAAAGTTCTGGTTCATCCTGTAAGTACGATATTACTGCAATAATTACCAATCACACGCTAGATTTTAAGGGTCAGAAAGCCACAATGCACACACCAGACCAAATTTAATTTAGCATAAGCAATCAGCAACACTGTAGCTAAACAGTGGATGTGTACAGATCTTGTAGAGCAAGACCAGCAAATCCAACTTTTACACACCTAGCCAAGTTTAATCCTCATGCATGAGAGCTTAAACCTTCTCTAGTTCTTTATGAGAGGAGTCCCTTCCATATTTCATTTATGACAGGAATATCTTATTTTACAGTGCCACATGGAAGAATTTGAAATCGGCCATTACTGTGCCAACTTTTTCAGTACTAACTGTTATCTAATGTAGTGTAAAGAAGTACTAAAGAAAATTCCAGCTCTACACTCAAATTGTGTGACATGTAAAGTCAAGGGAAGTCTCATTAAAAAAAAACAACACCAACGCTTCAAAAGCTACACATTCAACTTTAGGTCACTCACCTCAGACTCCTCTCTACACAGCAGGAAGAAATTGCATGCAGAAAAATACAAATTTTCAACAGTGAAAAGAAAGTATAAGTTAGCTACTTCTCTATATAAATACTGTAAAACTAAAAATCAAAGTGGTATTCATGTAATTATCAGGATTAAGAGAGTCTAATTATCCTACACTTCCCCCTGCAGTCTTTCACTGTATGAAAAGGAATATACATCTGCATACCATTTGTCACAGAACTAACTTCAACAGCAAACCCAAAAAGGTTAATCTATCCTCATTTACAAAAAATTTTAAATGTATTGAAGTTTTATTCAGCACTGATAGTTACTTGATTTTTTAATTTATGCTAAATAGAGAAAAATGTTAAATACATAGGAAATCACCTTTTTTTTTCTTTTGTTTTAAACACAGCCTCAATGACTCCAGCTTATGCACAGAAGGTAATCTCCACTCAAAAGGCTCAAAAAAGTAAACGGCTACATGAACTTGTAAACAGACTTTCTGAAAGGTAAGCTGTAGCAATAACAATATGTAGTACAACAGAAAATGCCATTGTTGAAGATTCAGCATGGAAAAAACTCACTATTGTCATAAGTGGGAGGATTTTTTTATCTTTTGCAGTGCATGCTGTATATTAGAATTTTGCTCAATAATGAAATTAAAATATTTACCCTAAGAGCAAATGTAATTAATCCTTAGAGTAGTTCTTCAATCTTTCTAATTTAATGAGGAGTCAAGATGTGACAACTTTAGCTGACACATTTGGTAAAAAAAAACACAAAACAAAACAAAAGAAACAAAAACCGAAACCTCACTTTATTAAGACAATGTTCCCATTCACAGATTCAAAAGCAGGTCTGTATTTAAGCTGCAATTCTGTTTGCTACCAGCTATTTCTTTATAAATAACAATCCTACTGTTAACATTAAATTACACTGGGAGTCTGAAGTAAAGTGGATTCATAACTATAGCACAGACTAGACAAACTCTGACAAGTTTAGTTACCATAGTTTTTGACAGCAGTACTCAATAGCAGCAATTGCCAGGAAGTACAGCAGCTGCACTTAATCAATGGCAAAGACCACTCTCTGAGAGAAGGTCACAGCAGCAAGAACAGATGCTATTATGAGAGATTTCCTGACTTGGCATTGTGGAATGTTTTCTGTCTTACTGCAATATAGATGCAACACAAATTATGATGGACTGTGCTTTACAATTAAATGAAAAAATTCTACTCACTGTAAAATTAACTTGCACCTGAGTATGCTATCAAGGTGTATATGTTTAATTCATAGTTTAGAAATTCTTTTGCGTACTAAAATTGTTTGTATTTTATTCTCTTATCTTTAGGCAAAACTTTGAGGCTGCCAAACCCTGCTATTCAAGCACACATGATAAAATTACTCTTTCACATCAATACTTACCCAGCAAGAAGTCTGCCCGAAGCAAATCTGCAATCAACATCAGAAACACAAATGCCAATGATTCCAACGCAAATGTAAGCCTTTAAAAGCCGCACAACTATCTCATCCCCACATCATGGCACGGCTGATCATCCCCATTCTTAACAAGTTGATTATTACAATCTAAGCATGTCTAGTCCATTTGAGGATAAGACAGGAGGAAGTTAAAAAAACCAAGTATTTTAGCTTGTATGTTACTATATTACTTCATACGAAGAGTATGCTACAGACTTTTCATGCAACTTAGTCCCTGTATAAACAGTAAAAAGGACAGAAAAGGAGCCCTGGATCTTACCACTGGAATTATGTTTCATATACTGAAACAAAGAATGTCACTCTAGCCATGCAAACCACTATCAAAACCAAAAGAAAACCTTCTCAATACATCAAACATGCACCACACTGGGGCTGCTACTTTAGAAAGGTGTCAATATCTCTCTGTTCAAAGGATTACACAATTAAAGAGAAATAATTGACACTTCCAACTTGAATCCCAGAGCAGTATCACATGACTCAGAATTTTTACTTCTCAACATGTATTCAGATTCAAAATGCTCCATAGAACCTTAAACAAACATAACTTCCTATTCTGTACCTATGTAAATATTTGCCTTCAGTACTAACAAGGCTGTATTTTATTATTCCCAACAGATTTTAAGTTCTACTCTGGATCATGCCATACAGACAGCAAATGGTTTGAAGAAAGCTACAGAACGAATGGTACGAGCAGTTTCAGAAGATCTAGCTAAAATTAAAAGAAAACAGCTTTAATTACCCAGTTTCAAATGCTACATTGTTTTGCTGGTTGATGCTGAAGTGTCAGTATTTCTGCTGTGCTGCGCTTGTTGGGGATAGAGTTTATTTTCTTCCTAGTAGCTAGTATGGGGCTGTGTTTTGGATTTGTGCTGAAAACAACCTTGATAATCCAGAGATGGTTTTGTTACTGCTGAGCAGTGCTTACACAGAGTCAAGGCCTTTTCTGCTTCTCACCCCACCCCACCAGCAAGTGGGCTGGGGGCGCACAAGGAGTTGGGAGGGGACACAGCTTGGACAGCTGACCCCAACTGACCAAAGGGACACTCCATACCAGATGACATCATGCTCAGCACATAAAGCTGGGGGAAGGAAGAAAGGGACTTCAGAATGATGGCATTTATCTTCCCAAGTGACCATTATGCATGATGGAGCCCTGCTTTCCGGGAGACAGCTGAACACCTGCCTGCTGATGGGAAGGGGTGAATGAATTCCCTGTTGTGCTTTACATATTAAACTGTCTTTATCTCGAGCCTTGGGTTTTCTTACATTTACCCTATGGATTCTCTCCCCATCCCCATTGTAGGGGGAGTGAGCGAGCAGCTGGGTGGTGCTTAGTTGCCAGCTGGGGTTAAACTATGACATCTGCAAATATAAACCAATAAATGAAAAGATCAAAAAGTCGGCTAGCTGACTTTCCCAGCTGTTCTGTACCTTTGATTTGCCTCTTAGTCATCTCTGAATATCACCCATATTTAATTAAGAAATAAATTGCACTTGGAAATATATCTTTATTATCTAGGGTAATCAGGCCAACATCTGTGCTTACGTAAATCTAGGCCCGCATGTATGTGCTAGACACCTATTTTAAGATGTATAATATGAAAACAGGAACTTTCAAAATTACAATAGAGCTTGTACATGTACTCTAAAATATGAGGGTTTAGGGGGAGACATTTATCTTGATACAACTCTTGTCCATTCTTGATCTTGGTAAAACAATTCTTCATCTAGAAAAAAGTAGCTGAGAATATACTTAGAGGAAAAAACAAACAAGAAAATATTAACATCCTCACAAGAATTCCCTCCCTGCCCCTTCACAAGGTCCTGTAAGAAACCAGGAGCTGTTTGTGCTACATATTACGGTCAGATTTCTTATCTTAAAGCATGTCTATTAATCTACCTTCACAATAGCGTTTGGCTTTGCCTTCTGGAAAAACTGAGTGAGGGATTCCAGAACTCTGACGTCTTAAATCTTAGCCCTGTATTTATCAGCTATCAAATTTTGAGCTGGTGATGGCACTTAAGCCTATGGCAGACGCTTGGAGGAAGTCTAACTGCTGAATATGCAAAAGTAATCCAACATTTGAAGCTGGTAATTCTTCAACTCTGTGCAACAAATAAACATCAATACGATGGATTTTATATACTACTGAAATAAATTAGTTCAGTCCTTAAGTAGGACACTTGATATCAGTTATTTTGTTCTGTATGTACTGTTTTTAATCTTTGAGAATAGGAAAAGAATTTGCAACTACATATAGCTTTTAGACCAAACCTGGGTTCTTCTTGCCAAAGTATAAGGACTCTAAACAATTTAATTTTTCAAAGTGAGCATCTTCAGTAAGACAGTGTTGAACACTGCATTTCTTAAATACATACTTTTACTCTGGATTTTTATTATTACAGTTAGAAACTAGAAAACATTAGATTTCTACTAAAAAATTTTTAGAAGTTTTGACACACATGGTGTTTGGTGCATCAGTTAAGTTAAAAAAGTGTTGTTCCTGTATTCCTATTGAAAATAAAGTCAGCATACATTAGATGCTTAGCTCATGTAGGTGCATTTGAAAGCTATAGCCACTTATCTTCATCATGCCCCATGTCCTGCAACATTTTAAAATCATTATATAATGTTCTCCCTTTTCATTCCTCTCTGAAGTAGGGGGAATTTGACCTTCTTCCACCTTTCAAGTAACTTTGAATGAACTTACCTAGCAAAGATGTCCTCTTAACCTACTAGTCAACTTGAGGGCAAATATAAGGGAAAAGAAACAAAAACACCTTTCTGCAAAACAATAAATGAATATTCTTACAGTTGGGAACAACGTGAATAAAGTGCTGAGAGTAATCTATTATTTTTCTTTATGACATTTCTCTAAGATTCTACATACAACAAAATAACATTTCAAGGCATATCAATACAACATACCTCTAAAAGGTTCATAAGTTTACACTTAAGTAATTTTCTAAGACAAATCTAAACATTACCAGTATTACAGAATTAGTACCATTTAGAATTTATTTGATCCCCTTCAACATAATCTTTCTTAGTATGTAACAAAGTAGAATAAAACGGTAAATTCTCTTGAATCCATCAGGTGTTTGGTTTGGTTTTCACTTTTTATAAATTATCAACCCATTTGAAAGATTCAGCTGCTTCCCTTCTTTTTCTCCCCTTTTCCCTTGCCCTCACTTCCTCAAAAAGAGAATTTATGCTTAAAATTGTAGAACTTTTATATTACAGGCAATTCAACTTCTAAACCAGATAGACTATGTAGACGCAATTATAAGGAAGTTTGCAAGAAATTAAGTTGTCTGTTTGTTGGTTTGTTGGTTTTTTTTAAAAAAAGCTTTAGTAATAATCCCTGTATATACTTAAATACAAAGTGTACTTCAGTGCACAGTTGACAGCATTTCTCCAAAAAGTTATTTATTGAAATCAGAACTGCTTAGTGCTTCTGTGATTAACTTTCTACCTTACCCACCACCATCTGAAACACCCTTTTGTTTTCTCACAAATTATTTAAAGAATTTTCAGTGAGTTACTTTACAGGAAAATATTATTTTGAGACATTGCACTTGTGTGAAATACTTTTAGCATAAGCTCATATTTACAAATTTCCTTCTGAAGCCTCTACCTAGGCCCTTTTAATTCAGTCCTAGAGAAATAAACTCTATTATAGAGAAATTTCACAGTTCTCAAAAACGATTCCAGTTTATATATAATTACGGTAACTTTAAGCATAATTCGCTAAGAATGAACATGCCCTTTTGAAAAAGCACATACAGTGTAACACTGTCTACACTAAATACAATCTAAGAAACACACGCGTTGATTTTTTTCCTCTCTGCCTTCTACTCCCCAAAAAAGCAGCAAATTTAAATTACAAAATAACATTCTGTTAGTCAGAACCATGTAGTGTCCTTGTACAGTATTCAGAAAAGTCAATTTCATAACAGTATGTACATACTATTCGTCTTCTCCTAATAGGTCATAAACATCACTATTTCTATTCATCCTTAATGCAGACCATATCCTTCGGTTTACTAAGGCTCTTTACTTCATCCAGTAGTCTTTTAGGTGTTAAAATATGAGTAGAACCTGATAAAAGAACATAAGTATTAACTGTATCAGTCTGAAATTCTGACTATCAGACATTCTCAAAAAAAGTTACATGCCAGTGTTTTTTACTGTACTTGGAAAACTGAAAAGCACAACAGTTCAAAGTGCTTGCATGGGTTATGATATAAGACATATAAATGTGTGTCACCATTAGGTAGGCAGTGCCCCTCTTCCACACACTGAGACATCCAGATTAGGACTCTCTTAGTTTGGATACAAGTCTCAAGTCCCTGCTCTGCCTAGTTTGAAACATAGGCTAGAGCCTGGCCCACTTTCACTCTATGCAACTGTCCCAGTCTGCAAGAAATCTCCCCATTCTGCGAAAGGGTGAGTTCACAACAGGCTTTATCCTAGAATCAAGAAACCATCTGGATTAAAGATTATCACAAACAGTAGTTTTCCACAGAAGTATCAGTTACAGAAAATTGGCTTTTACTGACTAACATTTCCTTGAAAAATTTGCAGCAAATTCCAAGTCTGGAGCAGAAAAAAAAAAAAAACACACACACAAAAACCCCACCCTATTGTTCTTCAGGAGTGCACAACTATCTCTCTTATTCTCATAGAGAGTGAATATAACTTCTGTTGTGAAAGGTCATCCTACAGTTATGAAGGGAACTCTTTTGTGTTTAAGATTAGGGCTGTTTTGAACTTTGAATTTTAGTAGCGTCACTCTGAATGGGCTAATATTCCTCAGGTTCTCAACCAGGAATACAGCAAGGTTTCATCTTGCAGTAAACAGCATGAAAATTTGGCAGTTATCACCTTTTCTCGGAAATCAGGATTACAAACAAAACTACAAGAATCATCTCTAAACAAAAGGGAAGATGGCACTGTGGTTAGTGCCAGATACTACAGTGAAAGAGTGACCTACACTAAATGTAGTTTTGTAAACAAGTCTCAGATGAAGAAAGTCTTGTTAAACTACATTCCTGTTGTCTTGGCCTTTCCACTGCAACTCAAAACTAGGACCAGTGTTAAACCTACCTCAACCACCACCAACTAAACCAGTAAACAAAACAAACAAAAAAAAACCTGACAACACACAGTAGGCACATACAGCACAGCCTGCTACTTTAATGTACAGACTCTAGATCTCAGAATCAAGGCTGTCATTGCTTTAGGGAAGAGTATTTATTTATTTAAAATTATGGTAGATAGATTTAATCCTTTTTGAAACTCAAGACTAAATTTAATTTAGAATGTTTTAGATGACCCACACCCAGACACCGGCTGCCACTGCAGATGGCTACAGGTCTCTAGTAAGGTTCTACATCTAGGAGCTGTTTTGCATCATATATGCAAGTGTTTTAGCACCTAAATTTAAACAGCAATACAGGAAATTATCGTTTGCAGCACAGCAGCTGATGGAACAAGAATTTGCTGCCTCTGAAGTATTAACGGAGAGATTACTACTCCAGCTGGTAATTGATGCATTTACTGCTAAATCTTATTAAGATTATGGAGACTACTCCAGTTTTCAGGGCAAAAGTTATAAATCATGGTGTCATTTGGAGAAAGTCTCTGAAGAAACCATGACAAGAACTAGAATATGTTGCAAAGTCAGCTGAGCTACATTGAAAAGTATTTTTGGGTTGGTTTGTTTTGTTTG